CTACAAGTATTTTAAACTTTGACTAGGAGAGTAGTGTTGTACCCAGGGGCCGTACTTAGGACACGTCAATATGAAGCGTCTGCGAGTCTGGACTCTCAAGCCATTTATTGCTGTTGTCTGTAGATTTGCCCTGTCGTTGCTTTTTTGCGGAGTGATAAATTGTCTTTGAAGCCCACCCCCACGTCTGCCCATCTGTGGGTGGCATTGCTACAGGCCCTTCCTTGATCTGTGTTGTAAGGTACACGGGCTGCGCGGGGTGGGGAGGGGAGGAAGAGGGGTTCTGTGTGTATTGTGACGTATGCAAGGAGTGAGGTCTGTGTGTATTGTGACGTAGTTAGGGGGGACACTGTTCAGAGAGCAGTGCTGCCGGGGGGCTGAGGTGCAGGGCTTCTACCACCCGTCGGCTCAGCGTTTGCGCTCCCCATGGCCGCGCTGAGCGCCTGACTCAGAAGCTGAGGCGCGAAGGGTAGGAGGAGGCTAGTGCTGGCAAGCAGCAGGCGCTGCCCCGCGCGCAGAGCCGGAGTGTTTGCTCCGTCAGGGGGGCGGGGCTCTGCGCGTCTGAGGGGATCGTTGCTGCAGGTGCGCAGCGCCGGCTGCACGTGGAGCGCCTGGGACGCAGTCCGCCCCCGCCTCTGTGTGGCAATGGTGCAGTCCGCGCCCCTGCCGTAGGGGTGCATCTTTCCCTTCCCCATGACAGTGGTGCGGTCTTTTTGCAAGTAGTCCTCCCCCTGTTTGGGCGGCAGTGGTATAGTCCCCTCCCTTGCTTCCCATAGATTTGCCCCCTTCTCTGTGACGACTGTGGTTTCTCCCAACCCCCTCCCCCCACCTTCCGCGCGGCAGATTGTGCGGCGGCTGCGCGGGCCGGGCGGTGCCGGCGGCCCGCGCGAAGATGGCTGCTGGGGGCAGCCCGAGCGGCGCCGTGGGGCTGTGGGACCTGGGGGAGGCGGCGCAGCGGTACTGCGGTGGCTGGGCCGGGCCTGTGGCCGACGCCCGGGGAAACCACAGGAGGATCTGGGGCCGTGGCCAGGCTGGGTCAGAGCCTGGGCCTCCCACGGACTCTGCAGGTCCCCAGAGCCGGTGGGAGTCCCGCCCTCTCCTGCTGCGGTACTTCCCCGCCGCCCTGGGCCAGGGAGGCTCCCGCCGGCTGCGCAGCTGGGATTTCTGCCAGCCCCAGGCCCTGGCTCGAGAAGGGAGGGGAAGCTCCCACTTGTAGACAGTAAATCTTCGGGGTTAGGGTCACAAGCCAGTGGGCTAAAGGGAGGGAATAGGTGAGAGGTAAAGCAACATCAAGACTGCAGTACCGTGCACGCAGCACCTTCGATCTGCCTTTCAAGCCTTTAGTCCCAAGAGCACTCAAGCAGCAGCCAGCAGCTGCCCCCCGAGTCTGAGTCCAGCTGCTCCAGTCCACAGTCGTGGCTGACCAAGCCAGCAAGATCCCCAGCCCTGCTGTGCACTCCTCTGTGTAGGGCTGACTGGGTTCCCTGCGTATTCTGATCTCTCATCCCCTTACTCCAGCCTCAAGCTTCGTCTTCCTTTTTCCATGCCCTCAACCCCCTGAGGGCTTCTGAGAGTTGCTGTCCAAATTAACAGACATCAGCATGGCAGTGGTGATGGGCTGAGGGGTTTCCCCTTCCCCTGCCAGCTCCTTAAGTGATGGGGCAGGGTGGGGCACCCCCTCCCCCATCTCTGCTCCTGCTCTTCTTTTCCCAGCTGGCCCAGCCCCCTTGTAGAAGGGCTGGAGCAGGCAGGAGGGGTTTTGACACTTCCCTGGTTGGGAACAGCAGGGAAACTGGCAGCAGCAAACAGGAGGTGGGGGGAACGGGACATGCCTCTGAGCATGAAGGGGAGTAGGGGATCCTTACCTACTTTAGGGACTTAAAAAAAGTCCCTAGAGGCTCCAGCATTGCAGTCTGCCCATATGCCTGGGTTGGGGGAGAGACTGGGAGTGGTTTGCAGCTACCCCTGCAGCGAGGGTAGCTAGTTGCTCCCACACTTCCCTCACTCCCCAATCCTGGATCCACCCCTGAGAGTACCTTGCAAAAACCAGGGTCTTGACATGGCAGTGGTTAGAAAAAATGCAGTCCAGAGGAGGGCAGTCATTGTGGGCATATGGCGAGATGTGGTTGTGAGGAAATCTGGCTCATTCAGTATAGCTGCAATGCCTATAGAAATAAACACTCTGTATCAAATACGGAGTCATCCAATTAGTTTAAACCAGGATGAACCTGTTTAAATGGCAAGTTCGGGAGATGCATTCATAACGCTGTGTCTACTCTGCTTCATCATACTTGTGTTTGATAATTAATACCGCTGTAGTGATTGGTGAGTAAACAAGATTCAAAACTAAGCAATAGGCTCCTGGTAACCATCTGCTACTTCTCAGTATTTTGAAAAAAACAAAATACTAGAGTCCCTTATAATCTCTCAATAGACTGTAGGAAATCAAGACTTGTTAAAAATAATAGTTGGACACTTTTTAACTGCTCAAACTCTTTCTGGTTCTGCTTTTAAGGTTGTGGCAGCATTGCCTGAAGATATGAGACCTGGTCCTGATCTTTATGGTTTCCCATGGGAAATGGTGATTTGTGCTGCAGTTATTGGAATATTTACAGTCTTCCTATTCCTGTGTAGGAGTTATCAATCAGTGAGTATCCAAAGTGATTAATGGTTATATAGAGCATGTTGTTGTCATTTTTTACAAGTGTATTAAATCTTTCCCTTTAGGAGTTCTAATTTTTTACATGAAATAGTTCTATAATGTTTAAAGTCAACCAGTCTATACAGCTCACTAGCTCCCTGAAAAGGGAAACAAGCTGGGATAAAGCTTAGCATTTCAAGGCCCTTGGTGTTTGGCTGTTTACTGAGAAAATGTTAATTTTAGCCTGAAGTGCTAGCTAATCTTCTAAAAGCAAATGAAATCCAACTCACTTTGGAAAGCAGAACTGGCTTATCAGTACTGAAATCCAGCACTAAGTGAGGTTGTTCCAAGTACAGTGGAGGAGAGTTTATTTGGCATCAGTACCCTTATACAGAGATACACCCATGCAGGTTCCAACCTGCCTGGATGCAGTATTGAAGAATCAAACTCATACTGCACCCAAACTTTCCAAATCGTTGTACCTGTTGGCTGGTTGAATGCAGCTTACAGACTGACTGTTCCCAACATACTTAGGAAAAGCTTATAAAAAGCATGGACCTTTCTGTTAGATCCAGTAGAGGCTCTGACACCAAAAGTTGCTCACCAAGAGATTCATCTAAAAGAGGGGTGTCCAGCCTTTTTGAATGTGGGGCTGGATCATGAACTTTTTATCAGTCAGTGGGCCAGTGAGCCATATTCAAAGACCTCACAGGAAGCGGTATCACATCACCCCCACCGAAACAAAAGTACAGTGTTTACTTTTGTTTCCCATCGCAGCGCCTCTGGCCGCAGAAAACAGCTTGGAGGGCCGCATGGTGGCCCACGGGCCATATGTTGGACCAATCCTGATCTAAAATGTGCATGTAAGACCTTCAGGTTATCAAGTTGCATGCTATTACATTTATATTGTATTCATACTACTGGCAATGAGAAAAATCCTCAAGGGCTTTCTTAATGCTTATTCTTCAGCGACATAGCCCCAACTCCTTTCCTGAACCTCACTATTGTTGTCCTTAAACTCCTGGAAGGCTTGTCAAATTGCTTGGTAGACTTCTTGAGAACCAACTAGTCTTTCTGGCTGTCATCACTTTCTCACAAAGAGTCTGTGAGCTTTGTCCTTAAGCTTGGACTGCCTAATGCATTTTTTCATAGGACAGGATATAGAGACAGCATCCCAACATAATTCCTAAGATGTTTCTGAAAATCTGTCTGAATCATTATTATTTCAGTTTTCTTTCTGAAGTCACATTTGATACCAAGAGAGAAGAAAAAAAGCTTTGGATGTGTCTAGAACTTTGTTTTGTGTCTGCAGCAGGACCAAACCTATCAGGCTGCCTTCCATCTCTTCATGTCTATACCTAGCCCATTAAAAGACCTCTCCATCTTTAAGTGGATAAAGCAGTCTATTTTGATGTGCTGTCAAATGATGGACATGTCAAGGTGCTATCCATCTGAACAAAGACAATCTTCTGCTCAGTTCAAAAATATACAACATGGAGTAATCTTTTTTAAAACAGTATGTGCTGTACCTGACAATCAGAGCAAAGGATCTGGGGATGGAGGATTGTGGCCACCCCACCCTTTAAATGCCTACACAGTCAGCTGGGGGTTTCCAATTGGCTGGACAGCTGCACCCAGAGAGTGGTGGTGGACAGGTCATTTTCGACCTGGAGGGATTTGGGCAGTGGGGTCCCCCAGGGCTTGGTCCTTGGGCCTGCACTGTTCAATGTCTTCATCAGCAACTTGGACAAGGGGGTGAAAAGTACCTTGTTCAAATTTGCAGATGACACTAAGATGTGGGGAGAAGTGGACATGCTAGAAGGGAGGGACAGGCTGCAATTGGATCTGGACAGGTTACAGAGGTGGGCGGATGAGAATAAGATGGGATTCAATACTGACAAGTGCAGGGTACTGCACCTAGGGAGAAAGAACCAGCAGCATACCTACAGGCTGGGAAACTCCCTTCTCGTCAGCACAGAGGCAGAAAAGGATCTTGGAGTCATTGTGGACTCCAAGATGAACATGGGCTGCCAATGTGGGGACACAGTCAGGAAGGCTAATTGCACCTTATGCATCCACAGATGCATCACGAGCAGGTCCAAGGAGGTGATCCTCCCCTTCTATGCGACACTGGTCAGACCACAGTTGGAGTACTGCATCCAGTTCTGGGCGCCACACTTCAGGAGGGATGCGGACAACATCGAGAGGGTCTAGAGGAGGACCACTCGCATGATCAGGGGTCAGCAGGGCAGGCCCTACAAGGAGAGGCTACAAGACCTGAACCTGTTCAGCCGTCTGGTGGCCGTCTATAAACTGGCCAAGGGAGACCAGCAGGCAATGGGAAAGTCCCTATTCCCCTGAGCACTACTGGGAGTAACAAGGAATAATGGCCATAAGTTGACCGAGAGTAGATTCAGGCTAGATATCAGAAGGCGCTACTTCACAGTAAGGGAGGCTAGGATCAGGAACCAACTTCCAAGGGAAGTGGTGTTCACTCCTACCCTGGGGGTCTTCAAAAGGAGGCTAGATAGACACTTTGCCAGGGTCATTTGACCACAGCATTCTTTCCCGACCGTGGCAGGGGGTCGGACTTGATGATCTGCTCAGGTCCCTTCCGACCCTAGCAACTATGAAACTATGCCCTTGCATATGAGCACGGAAACACAGGATCCAGACATGGCTCTGAGAGAGATTATTATTTAAAACAAAAAATCCTGTCTCTTGGGTGTGAGATGCAAGTGCCCATAGACACTACATTGACAAAAACATCATGAACAACAAATTATATCATCTGTTCAAAAAGCAGCAATTTCGCATTGCAAGTACAAGAAACAAAATTAAGTTGTTAAAATTAATTGGTATGATGTAATACAGGGCTGTTTAGCTTCTGAGTAGCTGTGGGCACCTTGCTACATTGTGCATAAGGTGCCCACCATGCAAGCACCCTTGGAGCTGGCTGAATCTGGCCTGCCAATTGATTTGATCCAGCCTGCGGAGGTATGCCTGCCAGTTGATTGGATCTGGTCCACTGCTGCCCCTGCAGCACTCCACAAAGAGCCAAGCCTTGCTGTTCCCATTTGGGACAGCCTGCGCTGCCCTCCTGCCAGCCCCAGTCAGTGCGCACAGCTTCCCAGTGAAGCTGCTCCTGGTGCAGCTGCAGCCACCCAGGTGCTGCACAGCTCCTCCCACCTCCAGCAGCTCTTCCTCCTCCTGCCCCTGCTGTGCTGCTCCGGGGCGGGGGTGGGGGGAAAAAGCTGCAGCCAGGTGGCTCTTGCCCCAGTGTGTGTGGCTTCAGCTCCCAGGCCCCCTCCACCCACTCAGCAACCCTGCAAGTGGCTGCTCATTGCTCCAGGTGGGTGGAGTGGGTGGGAGGTGGAGCCCTGCACACTGGGGCAGGAGCCACCCAGCTGCAACTTCCCTACCCACCCCCACCTAGAGCAGTGCAGCAGGTGTACGAAGAAGCAGTGGCAATGTGTAGGGGGTGAGAGCACTGCTGCACTCCCTGACAGCCAGCCCTGCCTGCTTAGGCGATAGGTGGGGGGGGCAGGAGGCAGCGCTGGTGCCCCCTGTGCAAGCACTGGCCAGGGAGTGGGGGTACCAGGAGAAGTGCCATTGCACCGCTCACACTTGCAGGTTGGTGCAGTTGGCTGTGGGGGGACCCTTCTCTCCCCCCCCCCATCGGTGAGGTGGGCCATGTGGGGACCCTGCCTCCCCTTCCCCTGGTGGGTGAGATCGGCCATTGGCCCCCCCCCCCCCCCC